CTCATTTTTATACATTTTTTTTATATTATTATTCAAAGATCTTAGTTTTGGAACCTTTTTTGTTTTACACCCCTGCTGATCTGAATGCTGATTAAATTTTAAGCATATATAGTGACGAAGCTTCGGCTTCGGCCGAAGCTTCGGCTTCGGCAAAGTGGCTTCGGCCGAAGCTTCGGCTTCGGCAAAATTTTAGCTTCGGTACATCCCTACTAATTTTTGCAATTTAAATGATGTAAATTTAGGCAATTTAAATGATGCGGCTACTATCTTGTTGAAGACTTCTTAAACAAAGCTTTGTATAGTAATCAGTTACTTTCTGTTGGCATGTCGAACCTCTCGTTAATCTATTAGGCTGGCGCAGATGTATTTAAAATACATTTTTTTCTGCTTTTATTAAATTGAATGCAGGATCTTCTAAACTCAATGCATGGGTTTCGATTTTTTAGACTAGGCAACTTATTCTAATATCTCTTAAAAATGGTACAACAATTAAACTCAATTTTAAAGTTCTAAGGCCGGCATTCAGACCGGTCGTCAGGTTTCCAAACTCTGTGGTAGCCCTCAAAGAAGCTAATTCCATTTCCAGCTGTAAGGTATCAGTGTACTACCCTATGCAAGCAACACTAGTGATTTAGTAGTGATTCAATACTTATCGTAAGTGGTGATTAAGTACTTACTAAACGTTGATTTTGTAAACTTTTTATTACTAGTCATTAAGTGGTGATTTGTTACTAGTAACTTAATTTGCTTGGAGGGTGGATTGTTTTTATTATGCTTGGAGGGTGGTTAGAATTAGAGTGGGTGTACCTTATTTAAATATCAGGTTTTAAATATGGTTGAAACGTATTGTTACTTAGGTTTAATGTAACATCGAGGTAGTTAACTATTTTTAAATTAGATTGAATGGTGATTTGAAAGTCGTTTCTTTTAGAAATGTGTCTTATATGCTTTTTGAATTTATTCATTTGCTGACCGTTTTTGTTCTTAAATACGGCAAGAACGTCGTAGCGATATAGGCAGAATTCTTCTTTTTTATAGTGTTGTGAAATTTGGTACAGTATGAAAATATCCATTAATTTCCAAACTTCAGCACCATCAAATGGACCCATTGTTACATCAAACAATCAGCCTCTTTTTTTAGTTCATGTTTCATTTTAATTGAAGATAAGAGATTTTCTTGCATGTTTTATAAATGCTTTGTCTTCGGTTTTGATAACAATATAATGGTCAGCAATGTTTATAGAATTGTTGAGGGTGTTTTCATTTATGGAAGAAAAAAAATCGTTAACATCAAAAACTAGGTACTTGTATAAATAATTATTGGTGATTTTATTTAACGAGAGTACTACAATTTGCGTACTTTACCATTGATTCAAAAAACGTTTCTTTTTAAGTTCACATTTAATTTTTGTATTACTTTAGTAATTCATTCTGCCTTATTTTTGAAAGGTTCAAAAGGCGCACAGATGGATTGTTGACAAAGTTTTTTTTGTGGTCTTTTAAATTGAAAAAAACAATCAGAGGATCCGTTTATTTTAATTTTTTACATATCTCATGGTTGGTTAAAATTCGTTTTCCTTCTTTATTCCTTGTTTATAAGGTCTATTATTTTCAATTTGTTTTTTTGTAGGTAGTGGTAACAGCATTTGTTAACAGATTGTTTTAATCCTCGTTAAACAGTTTATACATATTTGATGTTTTGTCAGTTTGTGCTAGGGTTTTGTGAGATTTACGTAAAGTTTTAATATTTTTTTTCATACCATTTTGAAAAGTGTTGTGTAAGTCTCAAAACTTTATTGATTTAAGAAGATTGATTGTCTTTTTCGAAGAAAAACATTTCTTATATTTGCGGAGAATAACATTTCTTATATTTGCGGAGAATAACTTTCATACATTTGCGGAGAATAACATTTCTTATATTTGCGGAGAATAACATTTCTTATATTTGCGGAAAATAACATTTCTTATATTTGCGGAGAATAACATTTCTTATATTTGCGGCAGACATATAGGAGATTTGTTCCTGTAGTTTTTAAAATTAATATTGTCTTTAATTCTAGGATCGTTATTTATAAAAAAAAAGCGCTTACCATCTCATTTTTTTAATATTAATTCCATTTTGTTTATTAATTTTAATTATAAGTCTCTTTCTGACGGTTTTAAAATGTTTTTATTTGAATAATCCGGCTAATCAGCTGTTTTCATTCATCTTAATAAGATATAATTATATACAAATATATATATATATATATATATATATATATATATATATATATATATATATATATATATATATATATATATATATATATATATATATATATATGTATATATATATATATATATATATATATATATATATATATATATATATATATATATAATATATATATATATATATATATATATATATATATATATATATATATATATATATATATATATAAAGAGAGAGAGAGAGAGAGAGAGAGAGAGAGAGAGAGAAAGATAGATAGATAGATAGATAGATAGATAGATAGGTAAATACCACTGTGCACAGAAAAAAAAAAAGTGTATTTATGCGGTGGTGTTTTATTTAAAATATAAATGTATTTGATAATACTGGTTTTGAGTTCTTAGAGTTAGATAAAATTTAAATTATATTCAAAACAATGTAATATTCATTTTTAAAAAAAAGTAGCATGTCATAAAAGTATGGATTAATTTTTTTAAATTTGCTCTATTGGTAAGTTTCATACAAAATGGTTTCTGTTTGCAGATTGACAGCTGTCTAGTAAAAACAATGCAGTTAGTAAATATGTTGAAATTTATGATAATGAAATGTGTCTTTATAGTTAAAGTTTATTTTAAATTTAGTTAAAACTATGCAGGAGTTTTTTTGAAAAACAAAGTTTACGCTTATATTCCTCAAATTTTTAACATTTGAATTTAAACATAATGGAACATTACTCAAAATAAACATCAATTAAGTCGCCATGTACTGAAACATTTTACTAAAAGGTTAGAAGCTTTTAGAGCAAAAGGTTAACTGACACGTGCAAAGATTAACTGATATGTGCTGGTAACTGACACGTGGCATAAGAGTAAAAAGTTAACTGACACGTGCAAAATTTTGTAAAAATGCTTCTTTCAAAAACACTGTGTTCAATTAAAACACTGAAAACTTATATCAATTTTGAACACACTTTAAATTTGTTTCGCAAAACGGCTTAGGCCGCAAATCCAATATTTTTGTGCGCGCCTATATTGCCATTATATGTCGCGATTTTTTTTTGTGCAGAATCGTATGAAAATTTATTTAAAATATATAAATATGCAAATTTCTAGATTTCAAAATTACGTATCATTGTAATGATTATTATAAATTCCATAAACCTGCATAGTGTTTTTCGTTGTAAAAAGAACTGGTTTAAATAAAATACTTACTTGAAAGTACTTTAAACAATTTAGACTTTAAAGTATCTCAAAAAAAACAACTAATTTTTGCAATTTAAATGATGTAAATTTAGGCAATTTAAATGATGCGGCTACTATCTTGTTGAAGACTTCTTAAACAAAGCTTTGTATAGTAATCAGTTACTTTCTGTTGACATGTCGAACCTCTTGTTAATCTATTAGGCTGGCGCAGATGTATTTAAAATACATTTTTTTCTGCTTTTATTAAATTGAATGCAGGATCTTCTAAACTCAATGCATGGGTTTCGATTTTTTAGACTAGGCAACTTATTCTAATATCTCTTAAAAATGGTACAACAATTAAACTCAATTTTAAAGTTCTAAGGCCGGCATTCAGACCGGTCGTCAGGTTTCCAAACTCTGTGGTAGCCCTCAAAGAAGCTAATTCCATTTCCAGCTGTAAGGTATCAGTGTACTACCCTATGCAAGCAACACTAGTGATTTAGTAGTGATTCAATACTTATCGTAAGTGGTGATTAAGTACTTACTAAACGTTGATTTTGTAAACTTTTTATTACTAGTCATTAAGTGGTGATTTGTTACTAGTGAATAAGTAGTGATTATCACCGCTGATTTAACAGCGATAAACTATTGATATAACAGCGATAAACTATTGATATAACAGCGATAAACTATTGATATAACAGCGAAAAACTATTGATTTGGTAGTGATTCAATATTAATCGTAAGCGGCGATTAAATACAAATTCAAAGGTGATTTTGTAAACTTTGTATTACCGTATTTGCGTGGTGATTAATCACTAGTAAGTATGTAACGATAATTACTGTTGATTTAACGCCATTGCACACGTGATTTAGTTGCGATTACTTATTGTCAATAGTGATAAAGTACTTATTATATACAATTTATGGTACATTTAATTAATATTGATAAATTACTATTTGAGCGCCAAATTTTAGTGTTTGCAGGGATTGCGACAATTAAAATATTTAAAAATAACCATTCAAAATCCTTAACTTGTTTTTAATAAAACTACAGTTAGTTAGTTTAAAAAAACTACAGCCTCTGAAATACTATTTCTTAAATAAAACAAATATATAATGCAAAATAAATATATAATAAAGAAATACAAACGAGTGACATTCTTCAAAAAAGATGTATCAATGACAAGCAATTGAATAAAAATGAAAAATTAACTATAATTAAAAATATTTTTATAACGATTAAATGCGATTATCTCCTTTAAAACTAATGATTATTTAGTTATCATAATCTTTTATATTGCTCCTGACTGATTCCATGCTCCTGACTGCATCTAAAAAAAAAAAAAAAAAGAACATTGACAAAATTTAGAGAAATATTTTACCAATATTTTATTAGAGTATGATGATACATTATAAACAAATAGGCAAAAGACTTAAATAAATAAAACTTAAATTAGTTTTTTAAGCTAAAATAATGTAAATAACAAAAGTTGAAATATATTTTTAATATAAGTTACAAAACAGCAGTTAAAAAAATATTTTATTAGTAAAAAAAAAACAATTTTTTTTTATAAAGTTTTATTATGATTTTCATTTTTTTTCTTTTCAGTTCGGATATTCATTACACCAGCTTGTCGTAACCACTCTCCAATAAAACTGTAGAGTTGAATATTTTTGGTGTCAGCATGCTGACTACTAACTGCCTCTAAATAAAAAAGATACAAAACTTTAAACAATGAAATTGAAATGCCTTTGTTTATTTGAAACAAGATTTAGTCGCATTCATTAAAATATGTGTAAACTTGTTTCTTTCTATATATACCTACAATGGGTGATTAAATATTTTTGAATTCCGTGCGAAAATTACACTTCTGGGCAGTGCCCGTTATATTATATTTTGAAACAACATCTTCTGTTAAAAGTTTGTTCATTGCCTCATAGTTACTTTTGTTAGGGTGGATGTCACAAGCACAAGCTAAAACTGCCACCTGTAATAATAATTTATTACATATAACAACATGATAAATTAAGTAACAAGTAAAAAATCTCTGCAAGAATATTTAAAGCATCAGAATAGCAACCAAAAGTCTTGAAAATACTATATCAAATTACAATGGAAATAAGAGATGAAAAAGACTTAACAACAATATTTGTTCATGAATTTTTAGTTAAGATTTTGAATTTTAGAATAAGTTTAAACTCATTCCACACAACTACTGTGAATTTCTGTGTTTATTGCTGTTAACTTTTCACTATTTGGTTAATTACAATGCAAAAAAAACAGTGAACAAAAAGTTAACTTACCTGTAATAAAAAACAGCAATACGATATTACTAATTAACATCGTATGTATTTGAAATTTGAAAAAAATTTTTTCACCTTAAACTAGTTTTTTAACTGACCAATACAGTGTCATAAATTATGTGTTTTAAATAATAACAAAATTGATAAAATATACTAGTGAACATACAAGCTGCAAATATACGTTTTTATTTTCTAATTTACTTTTTAACTTCCCCAAATCCTCAATATTGTAAATAGTAATGAAGACAAACGTATTAACAATATCTATTGCTGTATGCTCCAGAACTGGAAACTTTTCATTAATATCTTTTTGGGTTTGCTTAATATCAGATAAATCTTTTTTTATATTTTTGAAAAAAATTTCATCACATTTTTCTGGAAAACAGAAAAAAAAGAAATTTCAAGTTACAAAAAGTTTATAAAGTCTACATATAGATATCTATCAAGTAAATAATATTTTTAAAACTGAAATATTGCTTGTGTTATGCTGCAGGAGATAAGATTGAGACGATTGTACTTTAGTTTGAAATTATGGATTAATCTTTAAGTCAATTCTTTGCTTCTTTTTAGTTATCAAATTTAGATTTGAAGGCACTTAAAAAAAACAAACTTTATTTTAACGATAGAAAACAACACTTTGAAATATCTGCAAAAATAGACTTCTTAAAACATATCTGATATACTTTAGATGTATACTGTAAAGTCCTACAAAGATCTTTGTTAGCACTACAAATAATACTCATTGATCTTTTTAAATTCAAGTTCAATGTTTTAAAGAGTATTATTTGCTGTAAGTCTAAAAAATTAGTCTCAAAAAAGAAAAAAGTATACAATAGTATTGAAAACACAACAAAAAAGTTTATAAATACAAATTTTTAAATAAAGATAAAATAATGAATTTTTTAGTAGTGATGGTGGAAGTAACGGAAACCTGTCGATTATGGTCTCTTGCTCTTCATCACTGCTGCAAACCAATTTAGATCTTTTTGGTTGATTGGAAACAACATCATTATTTATAATAAACAATATACCTGTTCACATATTTTGTTGATACATCAAAAAAATCTTTTAGTATAATACCAAACAATATAAAGTAAATTAACTCAAACAACCCAAATCATCAGAACCACTCATAAAATATGGTAAAACCGTTCGACATTTGTATCAATGGCTGAGGGGACAAGTTTAGATTCAGAATAGCTGCCTTAAATTAAAAAAAAAACATGAAAATGCAAATACTATTAACTTACTTTCACTTCCATATTTCTTCAACAAGACAACAAAAAATAAAACATGAGAATGAAAAAAATAAAACATGAAAAATGAATAAAATATGAAAAAAGTAAAACATGAAAAAAACAACAACATGAAAACAAGGATTTTCTTCAACAAAACAACAAAAAAAGTAAAACATGAAAATGCAAATACTTAAACTTACTTCCACTTCCATATTTCTTCAACAAAATAAACCTGAACCAGTCTTTTTTCGGTAGATGTCTGTTTAAAATTAATGGCTTTACATTAGGAACTGGAGGCCAGCACACCCAAAAGCTATCATTTCTTTCTTCTATCCAATTTCTAGTAATTGTTCCATATTCAATGGAATGTGGAGGTTCGAGCCATTTTACTTTAACAAACTTATCAATTTTTTTAAATTGAAAAATAAAAGCTGAAAACCTAAGTAATAAATAATTAACAGCTCGAACAATAATAAGAAACTGTAATTAGAACAATTAAAATAAACCAATATTTTTATTGCTATTAACTATTAATCATACATACATAGTTAGGGACAGTATTAAACAGGTATTGATAAAAAAATTATAGTGAATATTATAATTAAACAATTTCATTATAAGAAAAGTAAAACAAAAGTAAAAGTAAAATTATAAGGAGAAATTATAAACTATATATACATATAGTTTATATTTATATATATATAGAAGTTGCAGGGGCTTCAGTATATCCATTGACTATCAAATAGCCTGACTTGAATTGGAGTGATACTACATTGTCTGAAAGTTTGGCAAGGGCAGCTATCTTTTCTTTCATTATTCTTTGTTTTTTTTTCTTCTTTTTTGAAAAATTAAAGCACATTTTTTTACCTTAAGAGTGCAAATATATATATATATATATATATATATATATATATATATATATATATATATATATATATATATATATATATATATATATATATATATATATATATATATATATATATATATATATATATATATATATATATATATATACATAAAATCAGACAACAATTTCATTTTTTTTCAATTCAAAACTAAAAAATATCATCTATTTTGTTATGCAGCTTTTTATAAAAATATAAGTGTAAAATCTTTATAAAATGAACTTGGAAATATATATCAAATACAATTGCAAAATTTTACCACCTGCTTAGGTTGCGTCTCTTTATCATCCTTGACACTTTATTACAACGGATTCTATTCTTTAACTCTATAAATCTCAAATCAGTTCTTGTGTGGAATACTGTTGCCATATCGAGGCGGATCCTCCAATGATGCCCTTTCTCCTTTAAACAAGGTGCAAAAATGCATTACAAACACTGTTTCATCGCATTGTCGTAATGTTGCTTTTCTTTCTTTTTTCTGCAAATACTATAACGGCACTGCTCTAAAGAGCTAGCGTCTCTTGTGCCATCTTCTAAAATTCATACTCGTGTTACTAGCCGTTTAGTTAAATCTCATCATTTTTCGGCGACTATTCCTAAGTGCTACAAAAACGCTTATTCGCCTAGTTTTTCTTTTCAAACACCAGTTCTCTGGAATTTAGTACCTTCATCTTGCTTTCTTAATTCATAAAATTTGAAATCTTTTCAGTTGTCTGTAAATCGTTATCTTGCTCTGTAATCATTATAAACTTTATCTTTTCTCTGATCCAGTAACTTCCAATTCTAATAGTGGTTGCTTAATAATACTGCTAATAATACTCTAACAGTGGTTGCTTGCAGCCGTGTTGGAAGCGAAGATGTTGAACAAAAAAAAGTTACTTCAAATATAATTAAGACCAAATGTGTAAAAGTAATAGACAAAATTTTAGATTTGTAAAATTGTCATTAAGGTCAAAATGGAGAAGAGGAATAAGTACATAACCTCCTTTATCACTAGGCATCATGATGGCTTTGTGTAGCAATGCATTCCGCTCCAATTCAATCTCCTTGGAATTTGACAAAGTTGATAAGTAGAAAATATGAACAACTTAACTTGGTAAAGGACTATCAAAAAAATTTGTTAGTTTCGAAAACTTAAACAATTTATAAAAACATTTGCTTTCTACATTTTTTTCAACAACAACAAAACCTATTTTGCTGATATAATAAATTCTATTTCTAAAATTTCTATTAAAGATCACTGATCTTTTTGTTGGTAATAGATGTATAACTTTACTTTGTTCATCAAGCCTTTTAACAACTTGAGCAACTGTATAAGTACCACTATCAATTTTTCTTTTAATTTTTCCAATGTTATTTTTAAAAGGCAATGCAGATATTTTATTCAATGATACTTTGTGATTTATTACATCATCAGCTAAATGAATAATACTGAGCATGTTATAAGATGCAAACAATGGCCCATAAAAAATATTTGATTCTGTTGTAAACCATTCTAACAAATTCTTAGAGTAATAAACCATTGAGTTTTCTTTAACCAATGTCTCAGATAAAAGAATGTGCATTGCAACTGATAAAGTCAATAAAAGTTTATATTCATTGTATATTATATTTATATTTATAACATATTTTGCCTTTCATTACTACAATTCCTGGGTATAATAAAAAAAAGCAAAATTCAGTTGCTTTAAAATATGAAAATTTATCCAAACTTCTAGGCCAACCTTGAAAGTCTGTTGGCGTGCATTTTTTTATTTCGAGTAACTCTGAAAAAATTTTGCTGTGTACAGAAGAACCTATATTGTTAATATAATTCTTCAAAAGTTTTTTTTTAACCCCAAGATAAACTAAATGCATGTAGTCAAGTAAAAATCTAGTCACCATTGGAATTTCAAGTTTGAATAATGGTGATTTACCAAACTGGTGTTCTGAATAAATTTTTCTTTAAACTTTTTATCATCTCGTATTATAGATTTAGTACCTAACAATCTTATACCTTTATGATACTCACCATGTTCTTCACATCTTTTACAAGTGTCATATCCACTATGACTTTTTATACATTTTAAAAATGCTCTAGCTGGTGCATCGCATACAAATGCCTTAATTATAACCTTTAGGTTATCATACCCATTTATAAAATAGAATTTTAACTCTGCAACAAATTTTTTGAGGTATTCTCCAAGAACTGTAGGTTTTCCTTCACCATACTATAAAGCAATTGCATATGGACCTTGTTGGTTTATAGTACACAATATAGGCCACATTTGTTTGTTTTTTTACTATTGTATATTCGAGTGCCATCAACATTTATAACAAGATCATACTCCGCTGGCTTTATAAAGCATTTTACATAATTGCAGAGAGCAATTTTTAAAGAAATATAAACAAAATCATCTCCAGCAACGTTTTCAACATCCACACTTCTTAAGGTATTTTTTAAAGATGTCCCACTTTTAGGAATGTCTTTTATGAAAGACTACAAATGCGGCAAAAGCTCGGTTAACGGTTTAGAAGTTATATTATTTTCAACAGCCCATTTATGAAAAAAATTTCAAGTATTGACAGATTGAGAAACCACACTTTTTGTATTACCAATTTTTTCCCTATATCCTACTTCTTCGTTATCTTCTTTATCTTCGTCGTCGTCTTTTCTACCTTCTTCCTCTTCGTCGTCATTTTCATTAGCTTCTTCTTCGTCGTCGCTTTCTTTGTCGTATTCTATACCTTCTACTTCTCCGTCTTCTTTACCTTCTTTTTCTTCGTTTTCTTCTTTACCTTCTTCTTTGTCTTCTTCTTTACCTTCTTCTTCGTCTTCTTCTTTACCTTCTTCTTCGTCTTTTTCTTTACCTTCTTCTTCTTTACCTTCTTCTTTACCTTCTTCTTTACCTTCTTCTTCATTAAAAAATTTTTTAAAACTTCTATAATCTCTCATTTAACTTTTCATGTAGTGCTTGCGCTGGCTATCTGCCATTTTTTATTAAGACTAATTATAACTATTTTCGGGTTTTGATATATTATTAAACAGTCACTACTTAACACGCATTGAATCACCACTTACATAAAATCATTTCAGGATATTTGATTTTTGAGTATAAAAAAGTAATGTATTAATCGTGATAGAGTGGTAATTGAGTGGCGATCACAGTGATCATTAATTAATTACCGTTTAACAGTACTAAATCACTAACTTGTTTGTTTTTTCGGTGTGCATGTTTGAGGCGACATTTCGAGCTCTTTGTTACGACTCAATTTCATTAAAATATTTTAAAATGACTAAAACACAAAATATTTCCGAATCTCTTCTTCACAAATATTTGTGATCTTTAACAGCAAATATTTTCTTTAATATGTCTTATGCTAATTTCACCAGACCTATTTGCTCCTTATTAGTCTAATTTGGGTTCGGCTGTCTCATCCTTGAATCATAGTGTTGATGATTTTTTTTTTAAATTTGTAAACACTCTAATAATTACATGATTGGGCAAGCATTTACTTTTGAAAAAATTTATCCTTAGAGATACAAGGTCAAAATCCATAGACTATTCCGTTCTAAGCTATTGTTAAGCACCACTTCAAGCCACAATTATTCTTTTTATTTTATATTTCTCTTTTTCATCTCAAGATTGCACTTATAATATTCGTGATCAAATTAAACAATATGTTTCACTTTACCCTGCAACTATTATTGTTATTGTTGATGACTAAAATGTTTATAACACAAATTGGCTTGGCTTTATTGTCAATAACTCTGCAGGCGTTAAAGCTTATAACTTTTTTCTTTCTCAATCTCGTAAACATCTCTGATAGCCAGTTTTCCAACTCGTATTCCAGACAAATTAAATAGTTTACCTTCTCTACTCAACTTATACTTGGTTTCTGATCTTAGTAAATGCTCGGTTTTACCCTTAGGATCTTTTGATGATGGTTTGATTTCTTTAAAACAGGCGTATGTTTACCACTGTTGAAACCATTTTAAAAATGTTTTTTTCTATTGCCAAAGCTTGCTATTTATAGAAATCTCGTGTTTAGTCTCAAAAATTAGTTTCCAGTCCTGGAGAATTTTGAGCAGTTTTTTTAATGAGTGCAGGATTTTATCTAATTTTTGTACTTAGAACATATTATCATTATTATCTCTTGGTTGCACCAGTCATGTTTTACTTAATACAGCTGACAAACAGGTAAACCCATTTCCAGACTGTAAAATCACTTCAGCTCTTGTATCTAAAAGTTTCTATACTGTCAAAACTATAATGGTTAAAAGTAAAACTAAACTGGTTGTTTACAAGGAAATTACTTTTGTTATACCATTTTTTTTTGTTTTTGTTTTAGTATCTTAAATAAAATAGTTTCAATAACAAAATTTATGTATTAGTTATCAAAAAAATTTTGAAATTTTGAAGTTCTTGTAAAAAACATCAAATTTTAGCCTAAAAAAGGCCATAAACTGAACACATAGATGATTCAAGAAAAGTCAAAGATAAATTATCTTATTTTCTCAAATTTTTTTTAAAACCAGTCTTAAGGTAATCCCATTATTTGAATTTTTTTTTTTTTGCATTAACCTCTTATAGTCCACTATATTTTTTGTCGTGTAAAAAATCTACTTTTTTAAATTTTA